GTAGTGTTGGTGATGTTCAGATTCCGATTCCTGAGCAGCCTTAATTCCGGTGCTGAATATAATTTTAAAATTATCTGTCATCATGGTATGTATGTTAAAGTGAAATATATTTACTAAATTGTGTGACCAAATATATATTTAATTCAAATTCAATATATTTACAACCGAATATTCGATCTATTTAATTTTCTCTACTTAAATTTTTTTTTTTTTTTGGTGTTCTGCAGAATCGTGATAACTACTGCTACGGTAGAAATTCAATGTTTGAACAATGTTACCGCTGTTATCCAGCATCTTTCATCAAGGTATAATAAATACTATCAGTTTTTTATTTATTTACTGCACAATTGATTTAATTTGTTGGCTAAATTTAACTATTTATTTGATATAAATTGCAGGATGATCTTGAAAGGGGTGATAAAGGTATGTTAATTTTTATGGCAAATTACAAAAAAACCCCTTCTCTTTGGGTGGTAGTTGTAATTACCCAAGCATGAGGAGTTTTTTTTCGTAATTTGACATTACTTTAGGGGTGAACGTAATTTACCCTAATTTTTATACCATCTTTTTTTTCGAATTTTAGCAGCTATATATTAATATATATTCATCTTCTTATCTGCTTCTAATCAATGTAATTAATTTCAAATTTCAGTTATAATGCCAGCCTCTGCCCTTGATCGTCTAGGTATGTTTTTGTTTATTTTTTTTTAATTTCTTGTTTTTTTAATTTAATTTATCAGCTAATAATTGTGTCTTATTTTCGACTGTGCAGCAAAATTAAATATCGACTACCCTATGTTATTCGAAATCAGTAATCCTCGTGCTTCGAAAGTCACACATTGTGGTGTACTCGAATTTACCGCTGACGAAGGCTTGATTTATTTACCATTCTCGGTAATTATCTCCCCGGAAAAAAAAAAAAAAAAAAAAAAAAAAGTTCAAGTATTCGTTTATATTTAATTATCTGCGCATTTTATTCAATGTTTTATTTTAGATGATGGAGAATATGCAATTAAAAGATGGCGACATTGTGCGCGTAAAAAACGCCAGTTTGCCAAAAGGTACATACGTGAAGATGCAGCCTCACAAAACGGACTTCTTAGACGTGTCCAACCCAAAAGCAGTGTAAGTTCGTTTGGCTTTCGTTCGATTTTTTTTATTTTTTTGTGTAATATTTTATTTTGAGGTCTTACGAAAAATATATCGATTTGAATCAGGTTGGAGACGAGTTTGAGGAGCTACACTTGCTTAACCACCGGAGACACAATTATGGTTGTTCATAACAACAAGGAGTTTTACATTAATATATTGGAAACGAAGCCCTCAAACGCGATTAGCATTATCGAAACCGATTGCGAAGTGGACTTTGCACCTCCTTTGGATTATAAAGAACCCGAAAAGCCAGTAAAGTCAAAGAGACCTCGACCGGAAGGTTTCTTTTAACGATTTATGGAATTTAATTTTTTTTTTTTGTACGGGCGTTTCAATTTTACTGGTGATTTTTGACCCGTTTTCGGTCTGAATTTGGCAAAACTCAAAAACACCAAATTTATAGTCCTTTGAATCAGCTAATTCAACTCATTAATGCATCAGACTTCCAATTTAGCTGATTCAATTTGGATTAGAAATTTATTGTTTTGACTTTTTTGCCAAATTCGGACTCGTAAAAGTTCAAAAATCACATTTAAAGTCGGAACATATACACTATTTTTACTTAGGTCTTTCTTAACGAATGCATTTTTTTTTTTTTTTTGAATCTCAATAGCGGATGAAGAACCGGAACATAAGAGCCGTAAACTTAGCTCATTTACCGGTACATCAAGACGATTGGATGGGAAGCCTTCGACTCAAGTAGAAGTGCCCGATTGCGAGATTAATAGTTCCGTATCGAAATCGTCTACTCGAAGACAATCTGGAAAGCTTGTTTTCGGTTCAAGCGCTGTAGATGCTTCATTAAATGAAAGTTCTAAAAGTTTGGCTAAGAAGGAAGAAGATGGAATGAAGTTCAAAGCCTTCACAGGGCCGAAATATTCACTCAAAGACTGAATGTCATATATACATACATGTTTCTTGCACAGCTGATTTTTATGAAGATGTAAATATACAAGTTTTTTATTTATTTAATACCACATCCATTAAAAATATTAAACAAATATGTGCCTAAAATACCCTTCTTGTTAATTTTATTTCCATTAATTCTCTAATCTATATAATATATAAAAGTTGAATTCCACACCTAATTGATTGACATTTGTCAATTTTAATTGATGACATGGCCTTAATTTCATCCAATGTGTCCATTTGATTGGTTAAGAAAAATTATCAAAAAACATGTCATCATTGTGTATAATTGTACATGTCATTTACTATATTTATTAACTTTAAATATATTATTAATTGCTATATATGGAAATTAGCCATCAAAACATGCCAATCAAATTTAAAAAAATTAGCCAAATTTTTAATTTCACACGTTCACACATACACACACACACACAGAATCTTCCTAATAATAAATTTTCAGTTGTCAATAACAATTTAATATTAATTGATATTAATTGATATTAATTGATTTTGCTTCACTTTGTTCAGTTTTATTTTTCTTCCAATTTCTTTTATTATTTTCGAATATTCATAATGCATAACATTTCAAATTTTCGTCATTAAAGTTATTTTAACATCTTTTACATGTAATTTTAATGCTTCATTTTGGTTGTTGATTGACTTTGCCCGGTTCTTTTTTACTTCTGATTTTTTAAAGATATAGTAATCTTCATAATTTATAATTTCCGATCAGTCAATAACCAGTTAAAATTTCCATGTATATATAACATTTTTTTTACTGGCTTTATGTAATCTCATATTTATAATTATCTATGTAAGTGTAATGATTTACAATATAATAATCTATTTATTCAACTTTGGCCGTCATTTTTTTTATTATGGATTTAATATTATGTCGTAAAATCTATTTTATTTAATCTATATAATCTATATAAGATGAACTTCACTCTCAATTACTTGACATTTGGCAATTTTAATTATTGACATGTCCTCAATTTTCCACTGTAAAGACTTGATTAGTGAAAAAAAAATTCATAAAAAAACATGGCATCACAAGTTGCCATTTATTATTTAATTCTTTACGTATCATGTTTCTTTTATTATCTATAGAACTTCAAGCAATAAATAGATTTTTTTCTTGGAAATTCTAAAAAATTTGGAAATGCGTGTAGATGAAATCCCTTTAAATCGCCGTTGTAATTTTTTCCAAATCTATATATCTATATAATATATATAAAAGTTGAATTACATCCTCAATTGTTTGACATTTGGTAATTTCAATTAATGACGTGTATTCAATTTCATCCCATCTAGCAAATAGATTGGTGAAAAAATAAATCATCAAAAAACGTGTCATCATTTTCAAAATTAAAAGTAATTAAATATATTTTATTATTTTATTAATATATTTATATTTTACCATTTATATAATCTCTAAATATATCAACTTTCTTGGAAACTATAAATAAATTTATTTTTGAATTTAATTTTAATAGTAATTAATTTATTTGAATTTAGTTAAATTCAATTTAAAGTCTTCCATTATTATAGTTGCATGGTTGGTAATGTTACGAAAATTTTGTATTTTAATTCATAAATTTGGATTTATATTAAAAAATAGGGGAAATATGCAATACCCCCCTCAAATTGAAAATATTTTGAACTAAACCCAATTGACTATTAAAGACTTTTGCCAACACCCAAGTTTCATTCTTTATTAGTGAGACACCCCTAACCATACATGATAAGACTAAAGTGCCCTTATGTGATTAGGTTTTTTTATAATTTTTTTTGAAAATAATCGAGTTTTAATTTCAAAATTTTAAAACGTCGTCTAAGATTTCGGCGTCGTTTTAATTATTTATTTTCCATATGGTTCTGAATTCTGATACCAAACATCATGCAAAAATCATAACCTACCACACGTTATTGGAAGCTGACAAAATGTTTTGTAGAGGGGTAGGTGGTGGAGATTGGGTGCCTTTTAGCTAACATGTTATATATATTAATATTTACATTATTAACATGTTTATTTATATAAAAAATAAATAAAGAGTAATTGAAAAAGAAAATCAAATAAAAAAAACACAAAAAAAAAACAAATCATGTTCCCCAACCTCGTCGCCGCCCTTCGTCGGATGCGTTACATGGAGATTTCATTTTTTTTCCTTTTCTCTCGATTTCTCAATTTTTTCTTCTTCTTTTTTTTTTCTTTTTTTTTCCTAGATTTGTCCACCACCGCCACCGTAGCCACGTCCCCACTCTCTCTGTCATTCACTGTCGTTGTCGTCGTCTCCCCAGGTTTTTTCGATTTCTTTCTTTTTTTTTTCTCTCCAAATCTGAAACAGCAGCATCAACGTGACTACTCTGGTTCGAATATGACTATTGTTGATTCACTCGATTAGTGATTTATTTATTTCTCGTGTTCGTTGTTTCTCTCGATTTCTCTCTCTTTACACCACCATCGTCTCCACATAAATTTGTACACAACCATTACCGTCGCCGCTCGTTGCCGCCGCCTCCTCATTCGTTTCCACGTAAGACTCTTTCTCTCTTTTTCGTTATCTTTCTAATTTTTTTTTATTTTTTTTCCAGATTTGTCCCCCACCACCACCACCGTCGCCGCCTCTCTCACTCTCTTTACTTCACCACCGCCACCATCGCCGTTGTCGTCGACTCCCCATGACTCTCTTTCGTTATTTTTCTATCTATATGTATTTTTCGAAAAAAAAATTCATAACAGGACTATAGTCATGTTCGAATATGTTTATAGTCATATTTATGTATTTTTTGAATATGATTGTAGTCATATTCGAATAACTAGATTCAAAATTGGTATTTTTTGTGTGAATTTTGATTGGATTGTTTTCGTAAACAATAGGAGAATCTTCTTTGTTTTATATAATTTGGTAAACATGACTATACCACATTATATAATCGAAATTTTTAAATTGAAAATATAAAAAAATGCAATATAAAGAAAGAATATGTCTATATAGTCACATAAAGAAAGAATTTGTCTATATAGTCACATATAGCCTCTCTCACTCTCTTTACTTCACCACCGCCACCATCGCCGTTGTCGTCGACTCCCCATGACTCTCTTTCGTTATTTTTATATCTTTATGTATTTTTCGAAAAAAAATTTCATAACAGGACTATAGTCATGTTCGAATATGACTATAGTCATATTTATGTATTTTTTGAATATGATTGGAGTCATATTCGAATATGACTATTGTTGAATATGACTGTAGTCATATTCGAATAACTAGATTCAAAATTGGTATTTTTTGTGTGAATTTTGATTGGATTGTTTTCGTAAAACAATAGGGGAATCTTCTTTGTTTTATATAATTTGGTAAACATGACTATACCACATTATATAATCGAATTTTTTAAGTTGAAAATATAAAAAAATGCAATATAAAGAAAGAATATGTCTATATAGTCATATATAGTCATGTTTAACTATAGTCATATTCGGAGTTGTAAATCTATCAAGAAAAAAAAATCAATTTTTTGTTTAAAAAATTTTTTTAAAAAAAATTAATTTTTTTAAAAAAATATTAAAAAATAAAAATAAATGAAAAATGGCTAAAAAATCTGAAAATAATAAAAAAATAAAAAAAATAATTTTTTTTTTTGATTTGGTAGCAAATTTTTAGGTATTTGGAAGGAGGTTTTTAGGTATTTGGAAGGAGATTTTTA